CACGACTCGTTTGCGCATGTGCAGTACTCTGGTGCATGGGCGAACAAGTTGCGGCTGCCATTTTGGAAAATAAAATGGCAGCCGTGACTCGTTTGGGCATGCACAGTACTCCAGTGCATGTGCGAATGAGTCACGGTTGCCATTTTGAAAAACAAAATGGCAACCGCGACTCTCGTGGGGGCGGCACGTGTGGCGGTGGCAGGACCGGACTGGGGCCAGTCCAAAGGCCTCATGGGTCCGGGTCCAGCTCGCAGGCCATAGGTTGCCAACCCCTGGCCTAGACCCTCCTCTCTTGTCCTTAGAGAAAGAAAATTCTCAGGGTAAGAGTACTCTGTTGAAAAATGTATGGGCATTTTTATGAGTTGTCTTACTTTCTGTTTTGTATTTGAATGACACACTCTTTGTAACTGTGGTTGATGCTTACTGTGTCCTACTTAATGATATCACCAAGGGCTGCCCCTTGTAACTTCACCAGGAACTCACCATCACAAGGGGTTGTCCCTTGCGTTTCAGCCTTAAGATCTCAGTGTGTGGATTAGTCCTACTTCCTACAAAATTTAGAAACCTAATCTTCCAAAGTTTTTAATTGTGGAGACCCACGCTGTTAAGAATGGGGTGGTTGTTGTAGATCACAGATGGTCAAGGTTGGGGAGCATGGTTTTAGATGACAGGGGTCCAAAACACACTGCAGAAATAATCCAGTTTGAGGCCACTATAACTCCCCTGGCTGAATGCTAGGGAATTCTGGGAACTGTAGTTTTGTGAGACATTTAGCCTTCTCTGTCAGAGAGCTCTGGCGCCACAATAAACTACAATTCCAAAGATTCACTAGCACTGAGCCAGGGGAGTTAAAACAGTGTCAAACTGGATTATTTTTGCAGTGTGTTTTGGACCAGGGTTATGGATCCCCAGTTGCCTTCTAATTGCCCTGATCAACTGGAATAAGATTAATCTGCCAGTCTAGTTGACTACTGTATATGGAGTGATGTGTGTGTGTGTGTGTGTGTGTGTGTGTGCTATTTTGTCCCTCCTCTTTGCAAGAAAAATGCAGGAGTTCATCACACGGGGGAAATCCTGTGTGAAAACGGGGCTTTAAATTAGAAAAAAACCCGCAAAAGTGGTCATGATTTTACATGACGTCGCTGTTAAATTGATGTTAAAAGGAGGTTAATCCGAATGAAAATCCCTCATTTATGCTTCTTTTTACTTTTGGAAAACCCGAAAGTAAAAATGAGGAGTTTTCATTCGGATTAACCTCCTTTTAACAGCGCTTCCATATTTCACACAGGGCAGAATGGGAGAAATCCCATTCATTAAAAGCTTCCGCTTTTGCAGCTTTTTTTTTTCACTTTAAAGAGCGATTTTGCACGGGGCTCCCCGTGTGATAGACTCCATAGTGAGTGTTTGCTCCCTGGAAGAGGGAGCACACTATATGAATAGAGCTGACTCCCTGCTACAGGTCTTTATCTCATTGACTAAAAAAATGCTTGTTCCCGCCACCCCCCATGCACATTTTGTCCATTTGCATTTTAAATGTGCACATGGTTTTGTGTGCACTTTATTTCTTACAAATACCCTGTAAGGTGCTTAGATGCATGGATGCGTGAGTTGAAATACACATTTTCTCACAACATGGTTCAGGAGGTGAATGCATGTTACTTACCTTGAGATTGTTGAAGCTAATGAAATTTCTTTCCCTCTCTAGCTGCAACAAACTGTACTTTGGAGACCTATCGTTTTGTTCAGGTAAAAGAGTCTCCAGACAATGAAGTGACTGCAGAATTTCCTTCCACCGTAAGAGAAAACAGCCGGCACTGTTACCCAGCTTATTTCATGTGTTAGTACTGCAAGCATAGAGGCA